TAATGTCTTTTTCATATCTTATTGATGATATGGTTATTTTGAAAAATTTGTGAATTGGTCTGAATTCAAAATCTGACATAAATAGTTTTTGTCTATTTTGATTTGTGTTATATTGAAGAACTTGTTTTATTGAGAATTTGTAGACGATTCCCGATAGTGGTTTCAGGTGTCTTCGTTATTGATTATAAATTGGGTAGAATTTTGAGAAAAATGGTGGTTGTTTGTTTAGTCTTTGGAAAAATGTTAAAGCGGTTTTTTTATTTTTTATATATTTATCTTTTATGTGCAACTTACTATTTAATATATTTATGGTTGGTATATACTTAGTAACAAATGGTATACCTATGATATTGTGTTTAATATCCGTGATATGAAATGTTTGTTTGAATGGTTTATTTAGAATTTTGTTTTGTTCCATTGTTCTTGTGGGAACAAGGAACAATTGGATTTTACCATAGTTTGTTAACATTGATCCTTGTGCCGTTGCTAACTTACTAGATGTTACTAATGGTTTTAAATTTGGGTGTAACAATCTGATTTCATTCCATGTAGGAATATTGATGATATTTGATTCTGCGCCTGAGTCGATCAGAAAATCAATTTCAAGATCTGGTGGTTGAAATTCTTTGTTTTTTGGACTTTCTAAGAGAAATGGAATTGTCCAAATTTTTTTCTCGTGGCGGTTTTTTTTGTACGTTTTGATATATGTGGTTTGTAGTTAAGTTTTTTATTTCGTTCTTCTCAAATGAATTTTCCGTGTTAATTTTGTGTACTTCCTGGGTGGTTTGTATAATATTATTATTTGGTCCTAAATAATAATTGTTAAGAAGTTCTAATTGATTTTCGTATAGGTGTGAACTAAAAGCTTCTTCATATGTGACTGATTCATAGTCATTTTCGACAGTTATCATGTTAATTATGATATTATTATCTGTATCGCTTTCAGTGTCTGTTGATTCGCAATTAATGTGATTTACCTGTAATTCGATATTTTCTGTGTTATCGATACCTGGGGGGTCTGAAGTTATTTCTTCATTTGTTTGTACTTGATTAATTTGTCTTTTGTGTTTCGGTGTATTACTTCTATGTCTGTGCTGAGAATTGTGGTAACTATTATTATTCCTATGAGGTGATTGGGAATAATTTCTATATCTATTATTATAACTGGAATTTTGTGAATTGTTTCTCGATCTATTGTGTTGATTGTTATTTGATCTTTGATAGTTGGATCTGTTGTATGAATTATTCCGTGATCTTTTGTTTGGATAGCTATTATTATGATTTTTGGAAAAGCTTCTGTTTCTGTTGTTTGAATAGTTTCTGTTTCTATTATTTGAATAGTGTCTATTTCTATTATAAGATGAATTTCGTGATTGATTGTTTGAATAATGACTATTTCTGTTTGATTGGGAACTTGATGCTGAAACAAATTGTGTTGAGTTTGAGTTTGATCGTGGGTAGTTGTTTCGACTATTTGATCTACTATATCTATTTTGTGAAAAATTTCTTGAATTTCTCTGTTCGGGTGATCTACCTCTATAACTAGAGTTATATGGTGATTGATTTCGAGAATAGTTTTGATTATTTGGAAGTGGTTTTCCAGAGCTATTGTTACTGTATACATTTTTGTTTGGTAGATTTTGATCTTTTTTCATGTAATGGTAAAATGATTTGTTTGGTTCTTTGTGTTTTGAAGGTTTATTTTGGTTGTCTTGCTGTTTTTGTCTACATTCGGAGATACTGTGTCCGTATCGTCGACAATAATTACACCATTTCTTAAAAGATGGTTTGCCTTTCCAATTTGGGTTCTTTTCATAGATGTTCAAAATTTCAGTGATTTTTTCAGATAGGTCTATATCTGCTTTTGTATATTGTTAATGTGTGTAGTTTTTGTTTCAATGTGATTAACATATTGTAATTTTAAGTTTTCGGTTTCTTCGAGTTTCATTGTGATCTCTGCTTGTTCTAGTTTATCGACTAGTTTTCTGAAATCTAGGTCAGGTTCACGAATTGAGGAAGGATGAGATGCTCTTTTCTTTATAGCTATTTTTCTTAATTGTGGTGTTAAAGTCATCATTAAGATTTCTGTCATTTTTGTATTTTTATAATCGTGCGTATTAAGTGAGTATACTTTTTGAACTAGTGTTTCGATTCTGACTGCTAGTTGTTTTATTGTTTCATTTGGTAATCTTCGAATTTCATTGCATAAAATTCTTTGATGTTTTTTGTTTCTTTCAGAATCAAACATTTTTGAAAATTCTTGTGTGAATCTTTTCCAATCTGATTTTATTTCTATAGGTAGTACTGAAAACCATTTTTGTGCAGCGCCGTCTAATGTCGTTTGTATCAACGCTGTGCGGCGATGTATCCAATTTTGATGAAGTGGTGTATTTATTGGTTCAGGTCCTATATTTAAAATTAGATTTGCTGTGACTACGTTTAAGTAGTCTTCTACTGAGTATTCAGGGTCTGTTCCTGTAAACACCATGTGTGGTTTATTTGATGTTATTGATGATCCTCTCATGAGATATGGGTTCATTGTCGTTTGTAATGACTCTGCGGCATTTGGCATTTGTGAAAAATTTGTCAATTGATTTTTTGTGATTTCATGTTGTTGTAGATAATATGGTAATGGGATTTCATTTTGCATTTGATTTGGTTGATACGAATGCATAATCATTGGATTTTGTGTTTGCATTGGTTGAAAAAATTGTGTATTATATGAAGTTGGAACTTGTGGTTGTTGGTTTTGAAAATCTGGTGGGTTTTCAGGAAAAATTCTTTTATATTGAGTACGTCGTGGTTTTTGTGTACGATATTCTTGTAGATATGGTTCAAAAATATCTGGCAAATGATCATCATCGGATGGTACATAATCCGTATGGCGAGGTTTTTGTTGTCTATTTTTATTTTGTTGAAAAAATGGGTAATTTTCACTATGATCCTGTGGAGGATGTTGATTTGGTTGAAAGTTTTCTGAGTTATTTGTTGTCATCGGTTTGTCCCAATTGTGAGAATATAAACGATTATTATTGAATTTTCGTGGGGAAAAGTGTGGTCTTGGTGGATTTGTATAATTAGAATTATGTTCTGCAAAATTATTTCTTGTAAATGTCTTTTTTGGTTTTGATGGTCGTGTCATTGGTCTGAATGTTTGATAATCCATATGTGAGAATTTAGGTGCAAAAGTGGCTGAAGGTTTTACATTTGATTGTAACGTTATATGTGGTGATGTTACTTTATTATTTTTTGGTGTTGTTAAGTTTGGATGTATCGGTGAAATACTTTGCTGTGTTGTTGTTACTGTCGTGTGGACAATCTCTTCATTTATGAAGTGTGATGGTGTTTGAATATCTTGCTGTGTAAGATTTCGAGTTCCATTGAGGTTTTCATTTTGTATAACCGTTGAATTTAAACTATTATTTTGTGTATCAGGTAAAAATGTATTATAATTTAAAGATGTGGCGTCAATTGTTAATGGTATAATTTTTATAAAATTTAGGTGAATAGATATTGTGTCTATCGCTTGACTTGAAATATCGTTTGGGAAGTTTACAAATAATGGATGAGACCAATCGTGGTCCCAAACATAATCTGATTGTTCGTGAATGACTGTGTCGTCAGTGTTATTTTGAGATCTAAAATTTTTTTGCTTGGCTAATTAAATGTAAATTATGTCCGAAATAATCAATTATAAACCATGCTAGTATTTTTTGTAAATCATGTTTGGAGTTTTGTGAAACGTCATTGTTGTAGAAATTTTCACGAATTGCGTATAAAAATGTAGAAAATGCAGTGATTTCATTTCTAATTTTGGTGTGTCTCGATGTTTGGACTGGTGATGTACTTTGAGCTTCTGTTGTTTCTAATATATTTAAATTTGTGTATATTATAGCAAAAACTTCATTTGTGAATATTGAGTTTGCTCTCTGTGAGTTATAGTTTTGTATATTCTTGATATATTCTGTGAATACCTTTGAAAATTCGAGATCAAGATTGTCTGTTTGGATAACGTATCTTTTATCTCCTGGTGAACAGATTCCTATAGTGTAGATACCGTATTGTTGTGTTATTTTTGCGATATCTTTTATATAGTGATCAATTATTTGTCGTTTTATTTTTACATCGGGAAATTTTGTTTTACATGGACTGATTCCTGGTTCAAATAAATTTATGAGTAAATTTTTACAAAATTTTATTTGTCCTCTATCAGTTTCTGAATCTATAATGAAAGGGAATGCTTGTTCGTAATCTATGCTTTCTTCACTTTGAGTGTGGCTGCTCATCTTTACGTTTGATGACTGTTAATAAATAGTTGTTAATGTGTCTAATTGGTTGACTCCAATTGTACAGATGTACTGGTTTATGCTTGTGTTTCTTTTTTATTCTATTTTTTCCTTTTTTCGATGAGATTGTATTTGTTTCTGAGTCGGAAAAATATACTGAGTCC